CTAAGCATTTAGATTCAAGAAACGACAGATAGACCATTTAGATCTGTAAACAAAATGCATGGTCACTTTCGTAACGTTTTTCAAAACTCGATCAAAGTCATATAGATCCGACATATATGAGTCTCGTTGTTTTCTTTAGCAGCTGAAAATTGTTTAAAATATTGATATAAATTCACTAATCAAAATGGATCCGGGTGGATTCTGGTGGATTCTATGGATTCTGGTGGATTCTGGTGGATTCTATGGATCCTGGTGGAATCTACGGCTCCTGGTGGATTCTAGAATCCACCAGGAGCCACCAGGAGCCGCTTTTTCCCCCTTGATAGGTACACTTCTGTAGGGATATTTCATAGAAATACTAATAACGAATGGCAAAGTGATAGAGAAAAAAGAAGGAAAAAAAACGGTCTTGATCCAGTAAATACATTTAGTTTTTATGCATTTAGCTTCTTTTTCTACTTAAACTTTATAATACCCTAATAACTTGCCTTATAGATTCTCTTGGTTATTTTTAATGATATGATTGAGGCATTAACAAACAAAGATCTTCTTCGACGATGCCTTCCAGGTATTTTATTTTTTCATTAAAAAATCCTGATGATCTACCATTAAATATCAATTCATGTTATTGTTTTATTCAGGCGTTACACAGAATTCAAATGAATGCCTCAATTCTATAATATGGTCAATATTGTCTAAGACAAAAAATCATGGATACCGATCTATACGTGGCGCAGCCGCGTTGGCATGTATTTATTTCAATCAAGGTCGCTCTGGTTTACTTGAATTTTTCAAGGATATTGATATAGATGTGAATGATGAACTGATAAATACTATTTTAGGTAGATAACTCACTATATCTCAATATCGTGAACAATCATACACAACAATATCTTTAAAATACTCTTTTCTCTATTAGGTAAAGATCAAGAACGTCTTCGAAAATCAATTGTCGCTACACAAAAACAAAATGACATACGTGAAAGAAAAAAAACAGACTCGTTTCGAATCAACTGCAGCAGAAGCGGACATGAGTGAATACGGAGGAGGTAGACATTGATCACCTACATTCGTTTTTAAGCATCAAAAGAATATTTGTCAACAGAATGTTTTATTTGAAACTAACATTACAGGTGTATTGTTATGAATCTAGGCTGAGTCAGGTTTATGATCTTTCGTGCAGAGTGCTGTTTAAAAATCCAGTCAGAATTGTAAAAAGAATATTTCACAACAAATAACAATAGAAAATGTTTTCGTATCGATTGACTATATTCCAACACAAGTTTCAATGGCAAATAGCGTTTGACTATATTTTTGAAAGTTTGCGAAAATCGTTAACCTGATTGGTCAAGAAGTGACCAATCAGATTTCGACATGTATAGGTAGCCCTAGGTATTGTCTCTTGAATGGTGAAAACCGCAGGTCTCTACGATATTCCTATCGATAATTATCGAAATAACAGTGAAATGAATTTTTATGCAATGGATGTAGCGTATTCGCAACCGAATTACTGCCGAACGGTAGATGCTAGAGCCTTGAAATTTGGCGATGAGGTACATAGTAGATATCCTCTTGTACATGGAAAGTTTCATTGAAAACTAATCATGCTAAAGCGTATAACTCCATGTTCTCCGATTGCTCTCTTTTCAATGTTTGAAAAGTACCATTTCAGAAAAAAGTTGAAGCCTCAAACTCTTTGAAAACGAATTTTTTTCTGAAATAAAAAAATGTCACCCCATAGAGAAGAATCTAGTGAACAAGTTTGCAAAGACGAAACTATTTTATAAAGCTTTATACGAGTAGGGGACTCGGTAAGAATTACTTTTTCCGCTGACATCAAAATAGCTGGAAAAATCGATTTTTTCAAATTTTGAAATTTTTATAACTCTACCAAACAACGTCCAACCCGC